GTTTAGGTTATAACATGCAATCATTTTAAAGCTTAAAATCATTAACATTAACAGACTATTTTGACCTAATTTTAGGTTAAGTGTAAAATCTTAATTTTAGGTTAGGTGTAACTTAATTCTAGGTTAAGCTTGAAATAACATGTTCGAGTATTATCGAGTGGCTGAAAAATTGTACTTCTGAATCGATAACATGCAATAACGATGCTCGAACTTGTTCTCGTTCTCCATTATTTTATCGGGATATACTACAGTGTCATCGCCCTGGCGTGGTAGAATGGCTGTTCTTTCACCGGCGGGCAAGCAATGTCGACAGCCTTTAAGACAGAATGAAAAGCAACGACAGCAGTCACAGTGTATATGTTTGCACGTACGTCGAACTTTGACGCAGTGCTCAACACCCGTAGTCCTTTGCATTCATAGAATGTCTCACCACGAATCCAGGGTTCCCCCTGCAGTGTTCACTGATTTTTCTCCGTCCAAGCACGTGATGTATATCCGTGTGAGGAACTAGCTGAACATTCTCCTGTCGTGCGAACACTGTAGGTGGTTAGTATCAGCAGGGAAGATTATCGCGAGAAATTTCATTATTAATGTAACAACGATAGAAATATTAATTATTTTATTACTAACGCAATATCTCGAATATTACTTCTATTGAAATGGTACAGGTTTTGCATTAACTGTAGACGTTGACAGTAACAAAGTAGCTTCGAGCAATGTATAATAAATTTCCAACACTATTTTTCTTGTTCTTTGTAAATAATAAATTGAAGTATATTGAATAATAAAATAATAATAGAAGTATTACATTAATATTTCTACCGCCATTACTACTAACGTAATATTTCTAGGTTATGTTGGTGTAAACGAGACTTAATGAATACTCGCAATATATAAAATATGGCGGGAAACAGAAGAATCTGACGAATTCTTTGGCGGGTTCAAACGATCACCACGCGAAGTCCACATTATGAAACTGATTTCCGCAAGAGCTAGCGAAATTCCTCAACGAACAAAACTTGTGTTTCAAAAACTACTATTATACATATATGCGCACGATATATAACATAAAACGAGATTGGCATAAAGTACTTGTTTAATACTATTTATTATATAAACAAATTATATTCATTTATTTATTATATAATAAACCTAACCTAAACCTAACCTAAACTATGTCTATTCATCTATACTCTATAGTTATAGAGTATAGATAAACCTAACCTAAACTATGTCTATTCATCTATACTCTATAGTTATAGAGTGTAGACATAGTTTAGGTTAGGTTTAGTAGGTTTATAGGTTTAAGGTTTAATAAACCCAACCTAATAGGTTTGTAGGTTTATAGGTTTAATAAACCTAACCTAAACCTAACCTAAACTATGTCTATTCATCTATACTCTATAGTTATAGAGTATAGATAAACCTAACCTAAACTATGTCTACACTCTATAACTATAGAGTATAGATGAATAGACATAGTTTAGGTTAGGTTTAGTAGGTTTATAGGTTTAAGGTTTAATAAACCTAACCTAATAATAATAAACCTAACCTAATAGGTTTATAGGTTTATTATATAATACTATTCTCTATAGTATTATATAATTGTGAAAATCTATAACGGATTAATAAAATCTAAATGGTTCACGTTTCGAAGGGTGAAAATATTTCTATATTGCAGGGAATTTAATTTTTGAAAGGAACTTCTTCAATGCGGATGAAATGGTAACGATGGTAGAGACAATGAGACGTATCACTTTATGCAAAGTATATCGTATTAATATAAATTAAATCAATATATTTACAGAGAAGAAACGGATAATTAGAAAGATAATTGAAATTGCCTCGGAAACAGCAATCGTCACGTACGGTCTCGTTTCTTTGAAGTGGCTAGACAAATAGTCGCGACGTAACTTTCGTTTGGTGCAAGAGGATGTTAAGGAAGTTCCCTGCCCTGGGGATTGCATTGTCGTGAAATCGATCTCGAGAGAGGCATAGTTCCAGCAAGATGGTATAACAGGAGAAATACCGCCGTCCGTGAGTAACTGATACTCGCCGACGGGTAATTCGACAAGTGTCCCCTCGATTTGCGTGATCCTCAGTGAAAGGGGACCGTTTCTTCTTCAACTGTTTGCATTCGGGATCGAGATGTACAACACGATAGATGTCCATTTCTCGAATTAATCGCGAGGATTAGAAGATCAAAAGGCTCGATGGATC